GAGCGGGCCAGGATGGGGCCGCCTGCCACCGCCGGCCTCCGCCGGGCACTGCCGAGGCCCTGTGCTGCCTGCTCGCCTGCCCCCCGCAGCCCCGGCCCTTCCTGGCCATATTCGGGGTTAGGGCGTCAGGGGCAGAGCACTGCCCAGTGGGCCCAAGCCCAGGCCAGGCTCCTTCCTGCCGTCTTCTAAGCCCACAGCCTGCCACCGCGCGACAGCCCACCCCCAACCCCGTCCTTGGGGATGCACAGGCTGGCGCCCAGCTCCTCACAGTGCGGCAGCACTGTCGCATTCCCGCTGGGGCCCGGATGGGAGAAGCAGCACCCTGGCAGAGACCCACAACTGACAGCGCACCGGCTCAGAGCCTCTCCCTATCCTTGGGAGCCATGGCCCCGGGCCAGGAGGAGATGCCCCGTCACCTGCTCTGCCCTGGCCCCTGTGAGCACTCAGTGGGTGCTGACTGCAGGCCAGGCCGGGCCCTCCCACAGGACAGAGCTCCCGGGAGCGTGGGGAGCCCGCAGGGGTCCTGGGCCCTCCCCCAGCACCGGTGGGAGCGCTGGCCACCCTCGCATGGGGCTGTGCCCAGGGCAGTGCCTCCACGCAGAGGGCAGCTACTCGGGAGCATTTCTGCTTTCTAGGCCCTGGTTGGCATGCGGGCCATGTGGCCTTTCAAGCTCGAGGGAACAGCGACCAGGGAGCGTCTCATGGGAGAGGAGGTGGGTCACCCCACCCAGCTCCCGCAGCCGCCATCTCCATGCAGCTCGCGGACGCTGCATCCCACTGTGGGATCCTGGTGCAAGAACCCCAGGGCCAGGGCTGATGGCGACTGCTGCTTCTCCAGGCCACCGGGCAGAGCCCACGTGTGGGAGCCACGGAGCTTCCTAGGAGGCAGCTGGCCTTGGAGGTTGAATGGAGGGCGAGGTGTGGAATCAGACCTGGCACCCTGGGGCCTCCGGGGTGCACCCCACTTCTGGGGGCAGCACACGTTTACAACCCATGATCTGGCACACGCTTCGTTCACCCACCCTGGGTCTGGCACACGCCCCGCTCACCCACACCCCTCTGAGGTCCGGCACACGCTCGGCTCGCCCACCCCGGGCCCCAGCACACGCTCTGCTCTCCCTCCCCGGGCCCCAGCACACGCTCTGCTCGCCCACCCCAAGTCTGGCACACGCCCCGCTCACCCACACCCCTCTGAGGTCCGGCACACGCTCGGCTCGCCCACCCCGGGCCCCAGCACACGCTCTGCTCGCCCACCCCAAGTCTGGCACACGCCCCGCTCACCCACACCCCTCTGAGGTCCGGCACACGCTCGGCTCGCCCACCCCGGGCCCCAGCACACGCTCTGCTCGCCCACCCCAAGTCTGGCACACGCCCCGCTCACCCACACCCCTCTGAGGTCCGGCACACGCTCGGCTCGCCCACCCCGGGCCCCAGCACACGCTCTGCTCGCCCACCCCAAGTCTGGCACACGCCCCGCTCACCCACACCCCTCTGAGGTCCGGCACACGCTCGGCTCGCCCACCCCGGGCCCCAGCACACGCTCTGCTCGCCCACCCCAAGTCTGGCACACGCCCCGCTCACCCACACCCCTCTGAGGTCCGGCACACGCTCGGCTCGCCCACCCCGGGCCCCAGCACACGCTCTGCTCGCCCACCCCAAGTCTGGCACACGCCCCGCTCACCCACACCCCTCTGAGGTCCGGCACACGCTCGGCTCGCCCACCCCGGGCCCCAGCACACGCTCTGCTCGCCCACCCCAAGTCTGGCACACGCCCCGCTCACCCACACCCCTCTGAGGTCCGGCACACGCTCGGCTCGCCCACCCCGGGCCCCAGCACACGCTCTGCTCGCCCACCCCAAGTCTGGCACACGCCCCGCTCACCCACACCCCTCTGAGGTCCGGCACACGCTCGGCTCGCCCACCCCGGGCCCCAGCACACGCTCTGCTCGCCCACCCCAAGTCTGGCACACGCCCCGCTCACCCACACCCCTCTGAGGTCCGGCACACGCTCGGCTCGCCCACCCCGGGCCCCAGCACACGCTCTGCTCGCCCACCCCAAGTCTGGCACACGCCCCGCTCACCCACACCCCTCTGAGGTCCGGCACACGCTCGGCTCGCCCACCCCGGGCCCCAGCACACGCTCTGCTCGCCCACCCCAAGTCTGGCACACGCCCCGCTCACCCACACCCCTCTGAGGTCCGGCACACGCTCGGCTCGCCCACCCCGGGCCCCAGCACACGCTCTGCTCGCCCACCCCAAGTCTGGCACACGCCCCGCTCACCCACACCCCTCTGAGGTCCGGCACACGCTCGGCTCGCCCACCCCGGGCCCCAGCACACGCTCTGCTCGCCCACCCCAAGTCTGGCACACGCCCCGCTCACCCACACCCCTCTGAGGTCCGGCACACGCTCGGCTCGCCCACCCCGGGCCCCAGCACACGCTCTGCTCGCCCACCCCAAGTCTGGCACACGCCCCGCTCACCCACACCCCTCTGAGGTCCGGCACACGCTCGGCTCGCCCACCCCGGGCCCCAGCACACGCTCTGCTCGCCCACCCCAAGTCTGGCACACGCCCCGCTCACCCACACCCCTCTGAGGTCCGGCACACGCTCGGCTCGCCCACCCCGGGCCCCAGCACACGCTCTGCTCGCCCACCCCAAGTCTGGCACACGCCCCGCTCACCCACACCCCTCTGAGGTCCGGCACACGCTCGGCTCGCCCACCCCGGGCCCCAGCACACGCTCTGCTCGCCCACCCCAAGTCTGGCACACGCCCCGCTCACCCACACCCCTCTGAGGTCCGGCACACGCTCGGCTCGCCCACCCCGGGCCCCAGCACACGCTCTGCTCGCCCACCCCAAGTCTGGCACACGCCCCGCTCACCCACACCCCTCTGAGGTCCGGCACACGCTCGGCTCGCCCACCCCGGGCCCCAGCACACGCTCTGCTCGCCCACCCCAAGTCTGGCACACGCCCCGCTCACCCACACCCCTCTGAGGTCCGGCACAAGCTCCACTCCCCCGCACCCTCTGGGCGCTGCCCCAGCCCAGAGCCCTGCCCAGCCCGATGGGGTGCTAGGAGCGCCTGGCCGCCCACGGCCTACCTCCTCCGTGGCTCTGGCACAGGTAGGGGAAGCGCCACACGTTGCCCAGGCCCACGCAGAAGCCCACGCAGGTGAGCATGTACTGCGCCTTGTTGTCCCACTTGGGGCGGGAGCTGGCCTCCTCCTGCTCGATGGTCTCCAGCTCGCCCAGGGACGGGATCCGGGCCTCCAGGCCTGGGTTGGGCAGCACAAGTCGCACCATGGTGGTCGGGGCCGGTCCCTGGTGGCGTGGGCAGGGGACAGGAACTGGAGGGGCGGTGGCAGCGGCCGGGAGCCCCAGCACTTTATAGAGAACCTTTGGCACCTCACCCCAAGCCCCTGAGCAGAAAGGAGGCGTCAGCACATGTGCAGGGCGAGTCCGGGCTGTTAATGCCTTATCTGAGAGGCGCCGGCTGGCCAGAGCCACCCTGTGCACGACAGGCCCCGCGCCCCTCCCCTGTGCAAACGCGGCCGTCCCCAGGCACCTGCCGGGCAGACAGAGGCTCCCTGCTGACCTGCCCGCCCAGACCCCTCCCTCACTCTGGGGCAGACCCTGGAGCCCGGCCCCTGCCCGCCCTGAGCTCACCCAGGGTCTCGGCACGCAGCACCCCCATACGGGCCCTCCAGGCTGGGCCCTGGGGACCCTGGGCTCATGACGGCTGTCCTGAGATGGGCTGACCCTGGAATCAGGGATCCGCCACCTCCCAGGTGGCTGTGGGGTTTCTGTCCCTCGAAGCCCTGAGCACAGGAGTCCCCAGCCCCTCCTGCAGAGCAGAGTGGCCAGGCCAGGAGACCAGGGTCATAGCCAGAGAGACACAGCCTCAGCCCAGGAGGACCCCACCCCAAGACTGTGTCCTGATCACCCCCGAGGGGGCTCATTCCTGCCCGAGGTCTCCTCCCTCGCCTTGCCCTGGACCTCCCCTGCCCCTGACCCGTGGCCCCACCTTCCTGAGGGTTAGTGACCAGCTATTGTCTGCCCCTCCCCAGCCCTCCGCCTGCTCCCGGGGTGTGCTCCCACAGGGCCCTTCCTGCCCCTCCCCAACCCAGGCTTTCCCAGAGCAGCCGCACTTCCCCCAGCCCCTTATGTCATCCTCGGGGTGTCCACACCCACGGGACGGCCACAAAGGATGCTCCGCACCTCAGCGGGGGGGACCGGGGGACAGTGCAGGTCCAACCTTTGCTCCTGGCACCTGGGAACTGAGGGATGAGCCCGGAAGGAGACAGCAGGTGGCCTTCAGGAACGGCTGGCTTCCAAGGAAGCACAGATTGGAGGGAGGACAAGGACAGGGCAGAGGTTGGTTTGGAGAGACAAACAGAGGCAGAAAGAGATGGAGATAGAGAGATAGAGGACAGAGAGCGATAAGAGACAGAGACTGAGTGACAGAAGGAGTCAGAGAGATGGACACACAGTGAGATGGAGGTAAAGATAGAAACAGAGACCGAGAGAATGAGAGACAGAGACAGGCAGAGATTGAGTGACATGGAGAGAGAGACAAAGAGAGACTGAGTGACACAGGTAGAGAGACAGAGATGCAGAGACGGAGACAGAGAGAGACAAAAGGAGAGAGAGACTTGAATAAGAGGCAGAGACTGAGACACAGGACGGAGAGAGATGCAGACACACATAGACAGGGAACGCCTGCGGCTGCCCAGGGGAGCCAGGCTCAGGCCCCGGGAGGCCGGAGGCGTAGAATAATGTGTCCTGACCCCAGAGCAGCCAGGAACATGACTGCGGGGTAGGCAGGGCAAGGCTGAGGCCGGTCCACCCCAGACGAGCCAGGCAGGGTCTGTGCCGTGAGCCACACGTGACCAGGCTTCCCCAGGATGCCTCAGGGTGCCCCGGAGGGAGGGCCTGGGGCCAGGGCCCTGTGCCTCCTCACCCTGCTGGCCTGGGGAAGAGCAAGAACCAGGTTGGGCCTCGGCACCAGGACCAGCAGCCCCCCTTAGCACCCGAGGCCCTATGACCCCTCGTAAAACCAACTGGAGCAAGGTGGCTGGGCGGGGCCACACTCGGACCGCTCCGGGCCGGCTGCGGGCGGGCTGGTGCCTTTGTGCACTCCTCATGAGCCCGGTGTCCCACCATACGCCCCACAGACGCTGGGGTCCTCCCAGCACCTCACGGGGGGACACGCTGAGCCGGGGCCTGGGCTCGGACATGGATACACGTGCCACCCTCGACCTATGCAGGCAGAGTCCCGGAGCTCACCAGCACAGGGCCCAGCATCCCAACCAGGGCTGGACCCTCAGGATGTCCAGACCGCGGCATCCTATCCCCAGACTCAGCTGCTGGCCACACCCAGGTCACTCTGGGGACAGCTGTTGTGCGGTCTGGCCACACCGTCTAGGGCCGAGCCAGGCCAGGGTGTCATTTGCAGCTCCCGGCTGAAGGAGCCATGGGAAAGCCCAGGTGGCACTGTGGCAGCACGAGGGCCCAGTCCTGTCCCCTCCTCAGGCTGACACGTCAGGCAGATGCAGAGGTGAGTTTGGGCGTGACACCCCAGGGCACTGGCCCCAGGCCCAGCTGCCCGGAGGAGTGGAGGGGGTCCGTCAGTGGCGCCTCCAGCGCCCTCCACCAGGGGCCAGCCAGGCCCTCGTGATCCGAGGATCATTAACCCCGTCTTGGACGGGTGTTTGTTTTCCTGGAGAAGCTTTGTTGATATGGCCAGGCTACTGAGCAGGAGCCAGAGTCACGCGACCTGCAGGCCTCCTGCTCCCCGCTGTGCTGATCCCGAGCTGGAGTTAGGCTGGGGCTGGCTTCCACCACCCCTCCCAGCACTGTCTGCGCCCGCGTTGGCACTCAACCTGCCCTCGTGCACCAGGAGGGGCCAGGGCAATGCTGTCTCTGCTGGGGAGGAGGCAGAGACAGACACCTGGATGGGGAGAGGAGAGACAGCAACAGGAAGAAAGAGGTAGATGGGGAGACAGAGACAGAGAAGGAGATGCACAGAATCAGACAGAGAGAGTAGAGGGAGATACGGAGACCGAGGGCGGGAAAAGTGAGGCACCCAGACACTGAGCCACCGCCCGTGCTCAGCTGCGGTGTGGTGTGCGGTGGACCCTGGACCCGCCTGCCCAGGGCTGGCTGCTGCCCCGCTCACTCACTGCGTCTCGCCCAGCACGGTCAGCTCCCCGGGCTTGTTTGCCTGGGTTATGGGGAAGGCGCTGCCAACTGTGGGTCTTTGAGGAGAGAACCCAGAGAACAGGGAGAGGATGCACTTGGGTTTGGCTTGATGAGATGGCGGCCCAGCCTGGAGTCCAGCAGCGGGCAGCGGGAAGGGTGGTATGGCCACCAGCTTCCCCCACCCCCAGCAAGGCTGTCTGCCTGGCACACGGCCAGGAGCCTAGGTGCTGGGAGGCCATGTGCGCTGAGTCACCGCCTTCTCCGTCCACCTGGAAACATGAGTGAGGACAACCCTGTGGTCAGAGCCACAACAGTGGCACGTTACCCTGACCCATACCGTATCTGCGAAGGGGGTGCGGAAAAGCCGGGGCCGTAACTCGGCTCTCTCCTCCCACCCTTGCAGACACGTGCACCGCGTCACATCGTAGTGCAGGCGTCGCCGCGCCCAGCGCATGCCTTTTGCCACACACATACACACTTCCGCCCCTGCCACCACGTCTCCATGCGTCCTGTGGCCCCGGCGCCTGTGCAGACAGCTGAGTGACTGTTTCTGGGGGAGCCGCGCTCCTGTAGTCCCTGTGCCGTGCAATGAGCTTCACTCAGAAATGTTCCCCACTTCTGAAACCCTAGGACAGGCTTTCCCGAAGTGGTCTAATAGGTGACAGGACAGGAAATTGCTTGAGGAAAGGTGACCGGCCAGTGGCCAACGCTGTCATGTCCCCTGGAGACAGTTTAATGAGCAGGAAGGACCCCGCAGAGTCGGTCTGAGTCTGATCTCTGGCCAGATTGACACCTTCCGCTGCTCTGTAGCTGCTCCTGGGCTTCTTACAAATCGCTGTGCCCTTTCTTGGGGTGGTGTCAGGGCTCCTTCCTGGCCTGGGTTTGGTGTTCGGCTGGAGAAGGCCCAGGGCCAACCACAGAGAAGCCGTTACACGCTGGACTGGGGCATCAGTTGCCTCCTCCCCATTGTGGGCACGGTGCGGTCAGATTCGGGGGGCCCCCACTGAGTGATCAGGACGACCCCCACGGCTCCCACGCTGGCCAGCCTGCTGCTGCGATGTCCCCCATGTGTCAGGCCACCCACAGGCAGACTACTGGGGCTGCTCGAACGGCTGGGAGGACGGTGCTGGTGAGGACGGTGCCATGGCCACCCCAGTGTGACAGCTCTGGGGGCAGGTCTGGCAGGGTCTGCGCTGGGCGGTCCTACTGCAGGGCCCTCCACCATGGCCCCCGCAGCTGTGGAGGAGCTCAGGCGCAGTCAGCTTCCACAGAGAAAGGACAAGATGAGGCTACCCGCCTGCAGACGGCCAGGAGTGGGGCACCCGGCTGGGACAGCTTGCAGGACAGTGCCCAGAGGCAGCGGGAAGCGTGCCTTGGGCCCTGCTGCAGAGGGCAGGAGACTGGAGCTACAGGCCGAGGCCAGAGCAGCTGGGAAGGGCATCTGGATTTTCTCCAAGGCCTCTGTGCAGGGCACACGCCGAGGACAACGCCCAGGAGCCGAGTGCGGCACGTCACCTGCACCGTGGCTCTGGGGACATAGGGCACAAAGCTGGCCCACTGAGCACTGGCAGGTGCTGGCACCCGGCAGGGGACCAAAGTGGCAGCTCTCTTGCCCCCACGGAGCAGATGAGGTCGTGAGCGCAGGCCGGGGCAGCGAGACTCGCGCGGAGCTGGGCAGGTGCTCGGCAGCAGTGCACTGCCATGGCTTCTGGGCCGGCAGGGATGGCGTGCGGGCAGCTGAGAGACGGCCCGGAGGGCCAGGGGACTGGCCTCCTTCCCTGGCTGCTGCCCAAGGACACAGCAGGCACTCCCCCGCAGGGGCGGCTCCCCTTTCCACCTGGGGCTCCCCAGACCAGGAGCTCAGACACCTCAGACTGCAGCCCTGAGGTAAGATCCCTAGGCGATGGCCCCATGCAGCCTCTGTGCCCACCTGGCCCGTGCAGAGCAGGAAAGCAGCTGGGTCTGGGGGCACAGGTCCCTCCCTCCTGAAGCAGGGCAGGTGCCAGTGTGTGGGTGTGCGGGGTCCCAGCGCTCCACACTGCCACTGAGCTCCTCCTCCAGGACTCCAGGAGCACTTCTAGAAACTGCAAGACTTTTCACTGAGTGACTGGTGACTAGCCGTCAGCCACGGAACGCCTTCGAAGCAGGAGGCTCAGTGTGCGCCAAGACACACCAGCAACCTGCCCAGTGTCCCCGGAGACCCCACCAGCCTCCCGCAGATGGGGGTCGTCCCTTTCCAGCAGTGAACCCAGGGCCAGCCACCCCCCAGAGCTCCTGGCTTCTCCCAGACGTGGGATGCCCCACTCTGCTTGCCTGGCCCTCTAGCAGGGCAGTGGGGCTCCTGGGTGGACAGCCTGAGGGTCTGCTTCTGGGCAAGGGGAGGGGCCAGCTCTCTCCCGCTCTCCCTGCCGCGGCGGAGTCCTGGCCCTGGTGTCCTGGGCAGTTTTCCTGTTCCCAGGTGCTGCCCGAGTTTGCTCCCAAGGGTTTGTCCACCTGCTCGTGAGGGGTGTTCAAAGCCACGAGGAGCCCCCCAGGCCTGGCAGCCCCATGGTCGCAATGTCCCCAGCAGCAATTCGGGACCGAGCCCCAGCTGTTCACAGAATCCCTGCAGCTACGTGAGCTGGGCTGGGGGCCACAGAGGCATGCCCTACTGTACGCTGCTCTCGGATGGACTAAAACAGAAGTGAGGGAAATGGCGGATGTGAGGCTACGACGCACCCACAGGCCTGCCTCGCCCACCCCATAGAGCAGGGTGAAAACCAGGCTGCTCTGCTCTGTAAACGGCTACCGGACTGCTGGTGAAGAGGTCTAACAACCCTGCAGCCCTCCTCAGCCCCCTTGCCGCGGCCCTGCAGCCCTTCCTCCCCGCACCCCCCTCGCCCCGACCCTGCAGCCCTCCTCACCCTGACCCTGCAGCCCTTCCTCCTCGTACCCCCTTCGCCCCGACCCTTGCAAAGTGTAATGCTCCCTTGTGGTTTTTGGGCTCAAATGTTCTGCCAAGCTGTGGATCGGGGCTGTGGTCCCAAACGCTGCCTGCCAGTAGCAGGGGTGGTAGTCCTGGCCAGGAATAAAGGCTCCTAAAACTTTAATTTCTCGGCAGTCTCGGTCTTCATAGTATCTTGCGCCACGATAACTCCACAGGCTGGGTCACATGGGAGCCTAAAGGCGACACAGAGACTTGGGAGGCCGAGCGGGGGCTGGCAAGGCTGAGGCTGGCCTGGGTAGCAGAGAAAGACT